AGCGGGCCTGACCACCCGATCCCGTTAGTCGCCTTTTACGACAAGCATAGTCGCCTATTACGGCAAGCATGGGCTTCTGAAGACCTATTCTACCCCGGATCTTCACGGGTATGAATTAAAAGAAGAGTTCTAAACATCTTTAAAACAAACACAATCATCCACTCATGGCGGATTGTTGAAGTTGTTGATTAAGGAAGACTGACCGGATATTTGTGTCTAAATAAACAAATAAACAAACACTGCTTTGCAGGACACATAGGTAAAACAAACCAGCTTCTGGTTGTAGTTCTGATTATTAATAAAGAACATGTGTGTTCGGGTACTGAGTGAAGCGAATCTAAAATATGCCATTGCCGTTCACGTTTGTTTCATGGAGAAGTGTTCGCGCCAGGCACCGAATGCTGACATCTTGCCAACAAATGACGAACTCGAACAAGCATATCAATAACCTGAAAGGATACAAGCCACACCATAAAATGAAGCTGTAGAGTATGGTCGGACATTTAAGTAAGATCCCCAGGTGGTATTAGAGGCTCTAGCATCAACGCAATTTGGATTTTTTGTTCTTCTTTCAGGGCGACATTTCGGTGAAGATGTAAGAGGTGCTGTGCCGAAAGAATTAAAACGAAGTTAAAATCTATGTGCTGATTTGAGTAATGACAGCAATTTGCTTTGTGTATCTGAAATCTATGATTTGTTTTCTGAGCGATCAATCATCAAGGGCAGATGTAACACTGGGAAACTCAACCAGTCAAGATGAACGATCAAAGCTACATTTGATATCAGATTGAAAAGTGAAGTCAATGTGTTTAGTTAGTACCATGTGACCAAGTTTGCAGACCCGTGAAGATCCCGGATAGAATAGGTCTTCAGCAACCCATATTTGCCGTAAGAAGGGACTATGCTTGTCGTAAGAGGCGACTGACGGGATCGGGTGGTCAGGCTCGCTGACTTGGTTGATGCATGTCATCGATCCCAATTGCGCGGATCGATGCTCATGATATTAATCACTGGATTGTTTGGTCCAGACTCGATTATTTACAGACCGCCGTCATGTAGCTGGAATATTGCGGCGTTAAACAAACAACCATCCAACCAACCCTTATTCTTATGAGGTGAAATGGGGTTAAACAAGACTGTTTCAATTACTAAGAGACGTGCATGTGGCTCCTTGTACTAGTCCAATTTATGACGGTTTTTCAGTGCTCGTCCACTGAAATACCATGCCACAGTTTAACTTAATAACGACTCTTCTAGGGGTCGAACCACCGACCGTCAGTTCTCCGGACAGATCCTTTTTTCGCTACGCCACGAAGTTTTTAGCTATACAGCACATAGCTCTGCATATGAGATAGCTACGCGATAAATCGCAAAGAACAATGAAGAACAAAGCGTGGTTTATTTCATGATAAAACATTGTTCACGACGTCATTTCTGAAGATTCGAACACGTGCTCGCAACCTGACGGCGGCGTATATTGGACGACGTTATTTTTAAGAGGGAAGTGTCTAGTGAGTTGTTCCCCATAGATTTAGCTTGGCAACACAGATAAACGCTATCTGCAGACTGCTATCAACCTGCAGGTCATATAATCACAGGTTTCTTCTCTATTGTTAAAGATAACAACCTTCGTCAGTTATTCAAATATTAACTAAAATACCGTGAGCAACCTCCTACCAATTGGGATCACAACTTTAAAATCATTATGGATGCTGTCGAAGAATATGCCAAGAAATGGACCAAAAGAGAAGAGGAACCTGTTGAACCTCTTCCAGAGTTGGTTAAGTCAATGCGTGATGTTGTCATTGGTAGAATGCACAAACTTAACAAGAGGAAACGTAATTGGAATAAACCCATTCTGTCCCAGCCAGCTGTCATTCAAAGTCTGGCTACTCTACAGGAAAAGTTTGCAGTTTTTCCCACTAACAAGACCTAAAATAACAACCATTACATGTAAGCATCAATACATTAATTGTTTGATCAAAGAACTTGGTGAAAATGACATATCAAATAATGCCACATATCAGGCCAGTATGTAACTGAGGAAGCAATCTGCCTGAACCATAAATAAGTACTGTCAACTTTGGAGTCAACTGAAGAGCGTCCAGTCCTCTTTTGTACTTGATTCCAAAGCTCCATAAAATTCCGTACAAAGAGAGATATATTGCTGGGTCCAGCAAATGTACCACCAAATCCATGTCTCAAAGACTACACGTAATCCTAAATACAACCAAAGAAGGACTTTCTTTATATTCACAGAACGTATTTGAGACAAGTGGAATTAATACCATGTGGATTGTCAAGAAATTGCTTGACTTTTTGCAATCTCAGAAAAAAAACCAAGTTCAATTCTGTCAAAACATTTAATTTTTTAACTTTGTACACCACTTTCCTTCATGACAAACTTAAGGAAAAACTTCATTGCTCGGGGCATGTGTTACAAAACGTGGTGAACACAGTTACGTATCTAAACTAATGTCCAAAGAGACGATACCACACATTTTTCTAAATATTTTATTATGAAGAGTTAATTTTCGTCTGAAAAGGTACTTTTGCGTATCCTACGTTCGAAACCAAATGTATTCGGTCGATAAAACCGGGAACATTTGATCAATTGAGAAAAAAGCGTGCAATTTGCCCAAATGACGTTTCGTCCCGTAACACGAAATGCACGTGCATATCTCATGTATAAAACTGCTGACCCGACACCTTGGGATCACAGCAACAAAAAGCACACAAAAGAAATGCCACGTTTGACAGCGATTGAGAGAGAGAGAGAAGGAATGCTCCAACAGGGAGCTACGCACCGCGACGTCGCCAGAAGGTTAGGATGCGCGCGCATAACCGTCACCAGGTTAATGCAGCGGTTGCGTCAAACAGGTCGGACAGCAGACCACGGGTGACCACGGGTGACCACGCCTATTGAAGACCGCCACATCCGGGTACTTCACCTTCGGAACCGCTTCGTAACGGCGACGTTAACGGCACGGACGGCACTGGGACACGTGATAAGTCGACAAACCGTGTACAGGAGACTGCGGGCACATGGTATCCGAGCACGTCGCCCCTACCGCGGAGCGTTCCTGACACCTCAACACCGACTCAAAAGACGGATATTGGCCAGGCGACTTCGACGGTGGCAACGGTGGAACTGGGCACGTGTCATGTTTTCTGACGAAAGCAGATTTTGTCATCTTCAGGAACGACGGCCGGCAGCGTGTGTACCGAAGAGTAGGTAAACGTTTGGCACCGAACTGCATCCATCAAGTCAGGCCATATGAAGGCGGAGGTTTAATGGTTTGGGGCGGAATCTGCGGTGACGTCAAAACGAGACTCGTCGTTATTCGAGGAAACCTGAATGCGCAGCGTTATCGTGGTGACATCTTACAACCAGTTGTGGTGCCATTCATCCAACAACTGCCTAATGGTATCATTTTCCAGCACGATAATGCGAGGCCTAACACGGCAAGGCTGACCCAGAACTTCCTAGCAAACGCCAACATTCACGTTTTACCATGGCCGGCATGTTCACCGGACATGAACCCAATCGAACACATGTGGGACATTCTCGGCCGCAAAGTCAGGAATCGCCCTGTGCCTCCAGTTAACCTCCAGGAATTGAAACAATGCCTCTTCCATGAATGGCAACGCATCCCCCCCCCCCCCCCCCCCCCCCCAACGTCATCAGACGTCTGACGTCATCAGCCCGTAGACGTGTACTAGCGTGTATTGACGCTCACGGTGGACATACCCGGTACTAACGTGACTTTGAGACGTGTGTTGTGACATTTTCCACACTTGACTCATCAACTGTGTTCAAATGAAATTTTCATTTTGGACCCCCCGCGTCTTTACATGTCTGTCCTCATGATTGTAAAGGATTGATTACAATGAATTTTTGTACACATACTGTGAAAACATTACTCACAAATCATATACCAATTTTAAATGTCTGTATCGTTTAGTATTTTTGTAATGTCCTTTCAAACACGTGGTATCGTTTCTTTTGGACATTAGTTTATATTCAGAGGTTCAGGACAATTTGTGAAAAATGAAAGCAAATGCCATCTGAAGTTTAGTGAGAAAACAATATTTGAAATGAGACCAGTGAGACCGCCTCATATTTCATAATTAGATCTATGCATAAAGATTCAGAATGACAAAAAACTCTCCACAAGATTGTATGACAAGAGGGATAACTTCAACTTTCCAATAGTCAACTTTCCCTTCATGTCGAGCAATATTCCAGCAGCGCCAGCCTTTGGTGTCTACATTTCATAACTTTTGAGATACAATCGAGCATGCTTTTTCTACCAAGATTTGACTAAAATTATATCCGATGCAATTCCCTATTTTGACTTGTACAATATGTTCAAGTGTTTTCTTCAGGTGAACAATTGACTTACCTTTGCATGTGTTTGTGACGTGTGTCACGGGGCAGGATACGCTCACCTTTTCGTGAACACATGGTATCATTACTATTTGATAGCTATTCCTAAACACATGCTCATGGTATAGTCGGAATCGTAAAATCGACTCTGCTTCATGCAGAGATTGGAAATGGAAATGGTTTTGTCGCTTTATTTGCATCAAACAATCTACTACATGCAGATAGACGGTCAAGAAGGCAGATTGGACTGGGTGGTGCCATGAGACCTCGTGCTCGTGTTGACAGAGACCGAGATGCAAGGATCGAGAGACTGAAGCAGCAGCTTGCTACTTGCATAAAACATGAAGATGATGGATATAAATGTACAGTGCTATGATAAAACATGTGTATTTATGATATTTGATGTTGTGAAAACATTTGAGTTTTGAGTGAAGATGATCTCATATACAAAATGAAATTACAGTATCAAAAGTCATTTACATTCTTTGTTATCTTGTTGGAAGAGTTCATTTTACTTAAGGGATAAGGGTACAAGTGTGATGTGCACTCATCCATAATTTTTTTGGATAGTAGTGTAGACGATATGAGGTGTAGGCCAGATGAGGACAGGCCATGCAGTCCACCCAAATGTTCACTGGACCATATACACAGTTTCGTAATATAGATTCACACATGTTTCCACAAAGACTATGAAACAGCAACACAATATCCTGCACAGCCAGTACAGTTTCGTTTACCAGTAAATAGGACATCGTGTGATATTCAATTTCACATAAACCCAAACCTGTTACCAGGGTAGTTCATATTGTTCATGAACGTTGGAGCCCGATCTGCTTGATACTGAAGACGGTCAGGATGAAGTTTGACGAAATACTTGAGGAACATCTTGGAGCGTTTGGTATTTATCAGAAACGCATCTACCTGTTAATGTGTACACCAGCAATATTCTGCGGTCTGCAGTTGTTGAGCCCTGTCTTTACCCTCAACATTCCCAAACACAGGTAGGTACCTATGTACTAAGGCGTTGCTTATCACTTTTCGACACCGTGGGGTGGTGGTCGGGTAGTCTAGTGGTACAAGCGTTCGCTCGTCACGCCAAATACCCGGGTTCGATTCTCGACATGGGAACATTTTGTGAAGCCCATTTCTGGTGTCCCCCGCCGTGATAATGATGGAATATTACTAAAAGCGGCGTAAAACCATACTCACTCACTCACTCCACACCGTTGGTCAATGTAATTCAACATTCAACACTACTAAAACAACAGTGAATGAGGATGTGACTTTAACGCCGTTATGATCAATATTTCTACCAGAAAATGTCAGCAAAATTTAATAGGAAATGGCATGTGATATGTTGTAGACATTTATCAATTAAAACCAACGGATACATCGTTAATTTGAAACAATTATATATGTATAAGATCTTTTGCTTGAAATGATATACCTAAAAGACTGAAAATATATACCTTGTGAAAAAGTGAGACATTCAGCATGTTTCGTTTACAATTGTCTACTTATTATGTGTTTATTTGGAAAATATTAAAATCGATATTTTACTTGAGTATAATAAATGCTTATCAATAAATGTGTAGGTTTCTGGGCCTTTGCCTATCTCCGAGTACACAAATTCAGGGTTCTGTTTAAATTAAAACAAACCTTTGTGTTTAGTATTCAAAGGTTCATTGAAGCATATTGTTACGTCATATTATGTTTATTGTTATTATTATCAACCAGTAGTCTCAGATTCCAAAAATGAGGATTTATAAATCATGTTTCGTTGTCTTTGCTGTAAGTCATTGTCCTTATGACTAATCGTGACGTAAAATAGTAATGGACGCTTCCCAGGGCAAGGTTGAAGTACCGTCTGAGAAAGATGAGAATACGCTTTTCGACGTTAGGATTTAAGAATGACATAATAATGATAAAGAGGTTATCTCATTTGTTTGTTTTGGGGTGGTAGATATCCCGTCCATGGAATAAACATTGTATTCAGTTCGCCTGAACTCGCTTAATGCAAGGAATACAGGATATCGAATATTTTCATTCCTAGTAAAGGATATTACCATCCATAACACACTCAGAATCGCCATGGCTCTCCGGGACCCTGACTCAAACTATAAATCTCACAAATTCAATGTCCCTATACGATGTCTCCCCAGTCTTCTAATCTAAAGACTAGACAGGGTAGTGTCTGGAACAGCAACAACACTCACTGACCCTGAGATTCACACATAGCCACTTCATGTTGTCTTGCACGCCTGACTGCCCCGCCTTTGATTTCATTCGAAGCCGTGTATGAAGAAGATAGCAAATGACAACGAAGGGAATACTTTCCGCTCACCTGACATACTTTATCTTCTCACCCAAATACAAATACGTTTGGGCCTGCACTAGATCTTTTAAACATAAAACGTCAGAGAATAACCGATTATTTGACGAAAAAGAATCCATTAGGTGTAAAAGGCAAACTAGTGGTAATCATTGAAAATCAGTGATGACACCATAATTGAAATTCCTTTAGTCACGCACGCACACACGCACGCACACATTTATTTGTCTTTAGTCATACGCACGCACGCACGCACGCACGCACGCACGCACGCACGCACGCACGCACGCACGCACGCAGACATTTATTTTCCCTAATAGTCAGAACATTGCTATCAATAAATTCATATCACTTTGTATGCTGTAGATGCGCCCTCCCTGGTGTCAGCAACGACACATATGCTGTACAAGGACTTGACCATGAGATCCTCCTTAACGCCACCATACCCTGGAAGACGGAGAAAGGCGCCAGCGTCAGGGACTCCTGTCTCATCTACAAGGACGATGTTCCGGCGGGTCAGAACAGAACAACCCAGGAATGCAGCGCCTGGGTGTACGACAACTCCGTCTTCAAGAACACCGTTGTTACAGAGGTAGGTTTCATTGCGATTATCGACTTTGTTTATGTTCACCCAATTGAACGATAATTTGAAGACGATAGAAAAATAACACCGTGTTGCTTAAAGTTTCAGTATAAAAGGACGCTTGTTGTAGTGAGTGAGTGAGTATGGTTTTACGCCGCCTTTAGCAATATTCCAGCAATATCACGGCGGGGGACACCAGAAATGGGCTTCACACATTGTACCCATGTGGGAATCGAACCCGGGTCTTCGGCGTGACGAGCGAACGCTTAAACCACCAGGCTACCCGACCGCCCCGGACGCTTGTTGTAACTGTTTTCACTACCAAATAAGGCACACCGGGTGCCAAAATGACAGCTACTGTACACGTACTTGCTCACTCATTACCTTAACGGCAACTATTTTATTTCCAGTTCAACATGGTGTGTGGCACCAGGGGACTCCGATCTCTGGCTAACAGCATTCTGTTTGCAGGTCTTCTAGTTGGTTCTTTGGTTTTCGGCATCATTTCAGATGTGTAGGTATTTATTGTCCAGTGTGAGATCACTTGTATAACCTTTCTTAATATTCTGTTAAGATGATTTTTCGACTTAATGTAAACAAGGCGAACACCTTTTCTAGACTTATAAAACATGAGCTTCGATGTTAATTCTCAAAATATTCCTGCAAGTATTGTTGTGAATTTTTCCTAGGTTTGGTCGCAAGATGTCAGTGATGATGGCTGTATTGCTTCACCTTGGCACTGGCATAGGAACTGCTTTTGCCCCAAACTACACAGCTTTTGTCATCATCAGGTTCTTTAATGGTGCCTCCAGCATCACTCTCTTCATATCACCCTTCGTTTATGGTGAGATTTATTGAACAATTGGCGCTTTGTGCATTTGTCCGATAAATCTAAATCAGAACTTTCGTTTTAATGTTAAATTCTTGTCCTTTTGAGACACCACTTATATTTCAAGTGTGTGTGAGATCAATTTGTTTAGTATACATACTAAGGAGCATTCCGCTCTTGCCAGGTGAAACAACTTTTGGCATGTATATTTAGAATGTTACATTTTGTACATGTCTAGTTATTCTTTTTGAACTTTTTTTTGGTCAGTTTGGGATACGGTAAACAATCTTTAATGATTAAACATGGAGACAAAAACATTAAAGAAAGAGCATTTTGTTTGATTTTGATTGTATGGATCTTGTCTGTACAGATGAAAGTCCAGGGCCCACTTGCACAAAGCGATCTTAGCGCTAAGATGAACGTAACTCCCATACTTTAACATAGGCTTACAATAGTCGTAGTGCTAAGATCGCTTTGTGCAAGTGGGCCCTGGACTCGACACATTATCTTTCCAGTTATGGAACTCGTTGGTCCCTCCAAACGGACCTATGCTGGAGTTATCATCGAGTTCTTCTGGTGCTTTGGTCTGCTCCTCGTTGGATGTCTTGCCTACTTTATCCGAGACTGGCACCACCTGCAGCTCACCATTACCATCCCTGTAGTAGTTCTCTTTGGGTTGTACTGGTGGGTACATCGCATTGGGTAATTGGGTGTCGTTACATGTACATGGTGAAGTGGTAACGACATGGCTTATTGCATATTATTATTACACATTTGCCTGTGCCTGTCCTTGGATAGGACTGGAAGGGGAAGATTATAAATATATATATATATATAAAATTAATTAAGTACGTTAATTTATTGACGTGTTTCTGTATAATAACATATTCCATTAATGTTTTTGTAGTGTAATACGACTCGCATTTCTGTTATTTTGCCCCAGCTAAATCGAAACTTCTCGCAGTTGACATGACATTATGACAGAAACCCAACTTCAACCATAGGTTTCTGTCATCACTTATTCTTTAGTTTATAATTTAGTTTTTGAAATAGCTATGTGAATATCTAGGATTGTTCCCGAGTCTCCAAGATGGCTGCTGTCACGTGGACGTGAGAAAGAGGCAGAATCAATCCTGAGGGTAGCGGCAGATGTGAACGACGTGACTCTTCCACAGAAGCTGTTTGACAAGGACACTCTGGATGACGGTCCCCAGGCCAAGATCACAGAGATGTTCACATCTCCAGTCCTCCTCGTCAGGACACTCATCATCTTCTTCAACTGGTCAGTATAATGGAGTCGGGAAAGGTGACAGTTAAATTGCATGGGGTGGTTGGTTGATGATCCTCAGTGATTACTGTGATACTGATTATGTTTCCAACAAGCAAAGGATAAGGATGAACAGCTTTAACGCACTTTTGCATAAAATCAGTTGTGTTTGAGCACGAATGCATGCTGGACATTTGTAGTGTACACTTTCTTCAGGCCTACACGGCCGCCTCCGTGGTCTAGTGGTAGAACGTCCGCCCGGAGAGCGTAAGGTCCGGTGTTCGATCCCCGGCCGCGTCATACCAAAAAATGTTAAATGATGGAACTTGTTGTTATTCTGGCTGGCGCTCGACATAAAGGGGTTTAAACAAGGACTGGTCGGCTCGGAGTCAGTATACTGTGTCTGAGTGGGGTATTCATGTTAAACTGCGGCATGGTATCTCAGCGACGTTAAACCCGATTTCACCTCACCCCAGACCAACACATAATTAACCAGCATTGCAAATGTCGTGATCGGAAAGAGTAAACATGTAGAAAGCAGAATATTAGTCACCTAATAGGAGCTCTATGCTAATTGGTGCCTTCAGAAAGCGTATCTATGTTCAGGTCAATGAGAAACAGAGTTATGTAAGTTTAAGGGCACATGCTTTCAAGACTGATCATTTCTATTTACACAATAATGTATCATTTAGTCGTCAAATGTCCCCAGGATTGACACGGGCATGATAGATTTACATATGAACACGCTGTGGTCAGTTTTATAGGGTAGCTATTACGTTATTCTGTTTCGGCTGATAGTCGAGACTGGTTATATGCTGGCGTTGACGTTAACAAAGGATAATGGGAAAAGAGTTACTATATATGCGTCATAAGGAAACAGCAATCAAATGTCAGTATCTGACTCTCTCTTCAACACCTTTGCTCACCATCAGACATAACTTGATTAATTGTATTACCTGTGAACATTTGTGGGAAAGTATAGGAATTAAGTCAGTTTATATTCACATTTAGGAGAATAATCAACCACCCGTTAACACATTAAATAGATGATTTTAAATAGAACTGTGCTACTAATGTGTGATTAAACGGTAATCACCCCTGTGAAATAACTCACAAATACATAGCTCAATGCTACGTAAAATCACTCTCACCTATACGTAAAACAGGAGTCAAAGTGGAAATAAAACAATTGACCAATAAATTAATTACACAGGCTTGTGGTCACCATGGTGTTCTATGGCTTGGCACTTAACGTTGGCAATCTTGTTGGGGACATCTTCCTCAACTTCACCATCGGCAACATCATGGAAGTAGCGTCCAACGTCCTTGTTCTGATACTGCTCGACAGACTTGGAAGGAAACTTCTCCACTGTGGCAGTATGCTATTAGGAGGAATCGCCTGTCTGTGTACCATTTTCCCTGTCCTTTATGGGAATCAAGGTTAGTTGCACACCCGTTTAAAACTTATTACGTCCATAAATATTTGCATGGCCTTTCTTAAAGATGTCGAAAGTCATTTAATTTTGTCGTCGCGAAAGTAGTATGTGTTAGATGTTCATTCGAGTGTGCTGTGGTGATATATGTGAAAAGTAACTTTTTATCTCTTTTCAGAACACGAATGGATCACAATGACTCTTTCCATGATTGGGAGATTTGGAGCATCAGGTGCTTTCGCCATAATTTATGTCTTCTCTGCGGAACTTTTTCCAACTGTTGTGCGCAACTCCGGAATGGGCGGAAGCTCTGTTTCAGGGCGTATCGGTGGAATTATCTCCCCCTACATTGCAGACCTGGTGAGAAATATATGATATCACATGAAGTCCATCTACTGCACATGCTCATGACATCATATGGAACATCAGTAGGTATACGTATATGCTCGCGATATCATATGGAGTCTTCGTAAATCTACTGATGAAGCTCATGATATCATATGGAACCTTACTTAGTAAGTCTACTTTTATGCCAATAATATCAGATGGAGTCATAGTAAGTCCACTTATATGCTCATTAGTAAATTTACTTATGTGCCCTGAATAGCACATGGAGCCGCAGTAAGTCCACAGTACATGTTCATAATATCATATTAAACCTTGTAACTCAAACTGTATAAGCTCATGATCCCATATGGATCCTTAGAATGTCTACTGTATAATTATACTCATGATATCATAAGCCAACAACACCAAGTCGACTAAAGAGTAGGTGAAGGGATGTTACTGCTGAGGAGAAGTAACTGATGCCCTTTCGCCTAAATACAAGTAATCGGTGATTTGCCACAATACATGTACAGTAAACTACGGTTGTAACGAACTCAAGGGACCACAAATGTTAGTTCGTTATATCCGTAGTTCGTTATAGTGAGTGAGTGAGTATGATTTTACGCCGCTTTTAGCAATATTCCAGCAATATCACGGCGGGAGTTCGTTATAAGCATATATACAGCAAATAGCCGGGACAAAAAAAACTGTTCGTTATAAGCGTGTTCGTTATAAACGTAGTTTACTGTATATAAGATCAAGCTATATCGGCAAAGAAAGATGACGATATATACAACATGTAGTTAACATTATGTGGTATCTTTTTCCGGATATTTATAAAAAATGTACATAGTAGAAATCGTGTGTCTGCGGATTGATGGCACATAGTTTTGGACCAATACAGATATTTGTGGACGTAAGGACATACCTATCCCAAATGGGCCTTTCCATTGCCAAACATATTAGCCAAACGATTGTTTTACAAAGCTTTTCTTTCAAGACTAACATCATGTCCAGGGAGACCCGTGAAGATCCGGGGTAGAACAGGTCTTCAGCAACCCATGCTTGCCGTAAAAGGCGACTATGCTTGTCGTAAAAGGCGACTAACGGGATCGGGTGGTCAGGCACGCTGACTTGGTTGATACATCTCATCGATCTCAATTGCGCGGATCGATGCTGATGATGTCAATCACTGGATTGTCTTGTCCAGACTCGATCATTTACAGACCGCCGCCATATAGCTGGAATATTGCTGAGTGCGGCGTTAAACAACAAACAAACAAACAAACAAAAATCATGTCCAGGGAAATAATTTTTGTTGTTTAAACTGTGAGCAGTATTCCTTTATTATTTTCTTTATAAGAATCCCCTCTCCCGGTAATGAAATGACCGATGATTCGAAGTTAATGTTGATGTACAGGTTGTGTTGGTTGACGGAGACATCAGCAGCGCTCTTCCCCTCATCGTGTTCGGCGTGTTGACGTTGATGGCGGGGATCCTTGCTCTCGGGCTGCCAGAGACGCTCCATCGCAAATTGCCTGAAACTATCGAAGATGCCAAATCTTTTGGAAAGTGAGTACACACAGGATCGAACGTTTGAGTACATAATAAACCATGCATATATTTTTCTCAACTCCCTGCACAAAGTTGATGGGGGACGTTGTTTTTCGTCTGTTGTTCAAATTCAATTCTGGTGAAGCATTTGTGATTAAGTATCCACTAAAAGCTTAAAATCTGCAAAGTTCTATCTATACTTGCCCTTTAGCTCGTTGCACAAATCTGCTTCCAAGTGGCCATGCTTTAGTGTGTTGGTTCAAACCTAGAATTGTCTGGATTGTTTTTCTCGGCTTCGCACCATAACCGTTCTGGTTAGTTACATCAAGTAATAAGTGATTATTGTCAGAAATACATTCCTTCTATTTTGACGATTGTGATTACTGAAATTCTGCTTAACGAGGATAAACACACAAAAAAAATCTGAAAAAGATGGCGATTACACCATTGCAAGCTTAATTGACTGGAGGTTAGTTGAACCAATGAAACATGGCGCTGATGAGGCAATTTGACCAGGGAGCATCTATTTGATTTTCGGGGGAGGGGGGTTTGGCGGCAGGAGTTTTTCCCTAAAAAATAATCAAACCCCTGTTTTACTGAAACAATAATTACTCATGCCTCATATTGTAGGAAAAACAATATATCCATTTCTTGCAAACAGTGTGTGTTTACATATTGAGAAATCAAATGTTTATTCACAACTACTTTTATTTAACTGCGTACTTACCAAGACTGGTAAAGCCATAGTAGCATTGGGAACCAGCAGCAATCTTGGCATAGAACATAGCGCTAAGACTATTGTAAGCCTAAGTTAAGTATGGGAGTTACGATCATCTTAGCACTAAGATCGCTTTGTGCAAGTAGGCCCTGGGTCTGCTTCCACTGGTGAGAGAGATCAAGGCATTGTGTTCTGCCAAGCCTGACCCGCAGAGTGTAAACTTTACCCCAAATAAGACAAAAAGAAGGAAGAAAGAAACTCAAGAAGTCAGCTCTTACGTTGGGATGCTGGAATGTTTGCACCATGATGACCGGATTGTCAGGGGACCCCCTGGAGATGAGAGACCTTACCTTGGTCTGCTGCAGGATCAGATTCCAGCCAAAGAGGATTCACCACACTAAGCTAGAGGCAATACCTCATACCCGAAGAGATTGGACTCCTTTACTGGTCCCCTTTATGATTATCTGATTACAGAACTTCCACAGGGAGATGCCGAGCAAAGATTGGACCATCTGAGAGACACATTCCATGCCCCTTCATTCTCAGCCTTTTGGAAGAAGCAGGGGAAAACTCATGATCAAAGCCTAGCCCTGCGAACTCATCCCTGCCAGTGAGGATAGGGGCACAGCACTAATGGAATTTAAATGCTTCCTCACCAAGAAGACCTAACAAGCTCTCAGAACAAATGGAAGCAAATTACAGAAAACAGAAATAACATGTGAGAACAACTGCTTGCTGCATGTCTGCGAGGGCATTAAATTATCAACTGATATCGGTCCAACTTAAAAAAAGATGGTGCCCCTGAAATCTGCAATGGGCAAAGCGATGAGTGACAGAGGCAAGAAGATGGAGATGTATGATGGGCAATACTCAACTCTCCCCGATGGAAACAACACTGACTCTGACTCTGACTCTGCACTAGATGCCTAAAAATATTAATGCCTGCCAGTAATGGAGAAGGAGGACGAGAAATCCTCGATGGAGGAGCTGAGCAAGGCCATCGATAGGCTGTTTTTTTCAGGTTAGCACTCAAATTAGATAAGATCCTCCAGAGGCTATCAACAGCAGAAAAGGGGATCCTGCTAAGCCACCTGTATGAACTTCTTTGTCAGTGATGGGAAGGGGAAGACTCCAACATCGTCACCTTGTGAAAAAACAAGGGTGATAGAAGCGTTTGTAACAACTATATCTTAATATCTTTGCGGAGCATCGCAGGAAAAGTACAGATAGCAGAAGCAGCCACTCTATGTCAAACTCATCAACCTCACAAAAGCCTTCGACCTTGTGTGCCGAGATTTGGCCCCTCAGTATGACCCAGTCACTCTGTACTGACATGAAAGACGACTTTCGACATCCACAGTGGAGCAAAGCAGGGCTGTGCACTTGGCCCTACCCTGTTTGAAATCTTCATTACAGTCATACTAAAGCATGCTTTGAACCCTCGACTGATGGAGTCTACCTTCACACAAGATCGGATGGGAAACTGTTCAATCTGGCTCGCCTGAAGGCAAAGACTAAAGTACATGAAACTTTCTGCTTTTTGCAGACAACCTGGCTCTGACGACCCACTCAACGAAGAGTAAGACAAGAAAAGACAAACAATATGGGAAACAGCATCGTACAGTCTACAGCGATCCTCATCAATGTCTACGAGCTGGAGGTGGTGAAGCAGTTCACCTACCTCGGCTCCACCACCTTAGACAATCTGTACTTGGATGCTGAGATCAACAGGCAGATCGACATAGCGTCCACCACCTCCACTATACTGTGACAAAGAGAGTGTCGGAGAAAAGCAAGCTGACAACCCACACCAAGTTTGTTGTCAAAAGAACCTTCACCTTGAGCACATTGGTGTACAGCAGCGAGTCTTCGACCATTTCCTGTTAGCAAGAAAAGAGACTAAACACCGTCCATTGGAGCAACCTAAGGCACATCCTCGGAATTAGCTGGAGAGGCCGAGGTCTTTCCCACACCACGATCCTAAGTCTCATCTACCTGCTCAGACAGCTCAGACTTCACTGCCTTGGCCACGTATGGAAAACAGAACAACACCGCAGGACCTCGTGTATGGCGAGCTCGCAGCCATCAAAAGGGCACCATCAAATACGTCTGCAAGCGGGACTTGAGATCACTGGACTAAGAAAGGGGAGGAACTCGCCAAAGAAAATAAGGCATGAGTGTCTGAAGTATTCAGTTTGATTTTTTATTAAAAACAAAATAACTGAACACCAAATGTTGAAAAACTCCAAAACATTAATACAAAACATGCTGATCTCAAACCAAAATCCCCCCCCACCCCCCACCCCCCCCACCATCGAAAATCAAATGGTCGCTCCCTAAGCAACGTGAAATAAGTATTAATGATGACGCTGGTGAAATGTTTTTTGGCGGCTATTTCCAGAACCACAGGCAAAAGAGGCTATCACCTGGACCACGCTCATGATACAAATATACCACACGTGAATCCAGCTTTTGATGGATACTAACATGAAGAGAAGAGAAGACAGCAGCTTATATATTCTTAACAAGTTTTCACCCCCGTATTAGGTATTAATCAGTATTTTAAATCTGTATTCGTAAACGTACATATATATTCAAGTATTTTTTTTATGAAACATGTCTCTGATTAGGAAGCGATTTACCAATGTCATTCACATACAGAACGAACTTCTCGCTTAATGTTATGATGTTAAAATGGGGATCAACATACTATGTTTTCAGTGAAAGTTAAAAACAAACAAACTGCAATGCCAAAGTCTCGAATATCCGTCAAAACAGGTTCCATTTGGCGTAAAAGGCAAAATAGCGGTGAAAATGAATGGATCATTGAAAAGGGTAAGCATGTTGTGGCAGTCTGACAGTCATTTTGCATAAAAGGTCAGTGTTTGTTTGTTGGTAGCCTACACCAAGTATGAATTCTGTATGAATGTTCTCTATACTGTGGCGATACTGTTTACAATTTTTCAGAGCACCACATAATTGTTGTCTGTATATTACCATAAAAAAATTCCAAAAATAATTTTACTAGGATATTCGGAAAATTACCATTTGAAATTAATGTTGACAATATTTTTCACATATTCGTCAATGTATAACATAAAAAGTATTGGTGATACTCAACAACATTCTCTAACACCCACTCTTGATTACATCAGTCATGCTATGTTTAATTTGTTTACAAGTCTTTGATGGATATTTATAAGTTGAAGGAACATGAGAACAGGAAACGTCTGTTGATACCAACTGCTTTATTGTGTTTAACAACGCGTCAGGACTACGCATTTCCCCTTCATGGTGTGCACTAAAGAAGGGACAAGAAGTAGCCCTGAAAACCTTGTTTAAGAAACAATAAAGAGTGTTATCCATTAACGTTTCATGTCTTCATAAATATTACAGGTACTTTACGTTCCTCACAGAGTTCATAGTAATCTGTTTTACCATGTATGACTTTTTGGATTAACGAATAAAGTATATTTTGATACACTGTGTCGAAAGGTTTCTTAAAATCAACAAACATTGCCACTTTTTCTTCCTGATATGTTTGTGTATTTTTTCGTATCGGGTGAATAGTTGGTCAGTAGTAGAGAAGTCCTTTCAAAACCCTGCTTGGATTTCGAAAGTAGCCATTTATTTCAATTCCAAAACATTATTGAATAACTGATGTAAATATACCATGTAGCAATAGCTCAAGTTCTAGTATTATAATGTAAACATGTGGGTGATGCTTTGAGCTAGAGTTGTGTAGCACTACTATAGTCCCAAATTTCCAGGATTGTGTGAATTTGCCTGTACAGAAAATATGGTTGAAAGACGATGAGTAACAATGAAGATGGATCTTAACAGGGGTTGTGGGGATACCATCACATCTAAGAGATACACCATTGCGACATAACATCTCGGTGGGCTAGCACTACACAACCGGCATAAGTCCGGACTAGTACAAGTACAAGCAGACAGACAAGCACACACACACACACACACACACACACACACACACACACACACACACACACACACACACACACACACACACACACACACACACACACACACACACACACAGCTGTAATAAGTGCATTATTCTTGACGCCCATTTCACAGTCATCACCTCTTTTTATCCTATTGTATTGTATTACACCGTGTGCGTGTACAAGGTCGGGGTCTTGTGTGGACTGGGCCACGTGTCACAAACGTACGGCGACTCATATGCTTCGGGTGCTATCGTCCATGACACATTCCATGATCTGATCTCAACGGCCGCCATCCAAGATTCATAATGAACTATGACGATGTTTTAGTACACCTGGGAGATTTTGGAACCTATCAGAAACGTATTTCCATCCTTCTATGTACTCTACCGGTATTCTTCGCAATGCCGATGATGATCTCTGTATTTCTTGTCAATGCACCAGACCAGAGGTGTATGTACAAACAGAACCAGAGCACATTCATCGAAACAGGGGTACCTTTTATGATTAGAGTGAGTGAGTGAGTGAGTGAGTATGGTTTTACGCCGCTTTTAGCAATATTCCAGCAATATCACGGCGGGGGCATCACACATTGTATCCATGTCGGGAATCGAACCCAGGTCTTCGGCGTGACGAGCGAACGCTTTAACCACTAGGCTACCCGACTGCCCCTTTATGATTAGAATGAAGAGTTATTTTTATAGCTGTCACAGCGAGTACAGTACTTTAAAGGTGCTAGTTTCTTTCTTCATTCAGTAGACCCGTGAAGATCCGGGGTAGAATAGGTCATGCTTGCTGTAAAAGGCGACTATGCTTGTCGTAAGAGGCGACTAACGGGATCGGTTGGTCAGGCTCGCTGACTTGGTTGATGTTTGTCGTCGATCCCAATTGCGTGGATCGATGCTCATGATGTAAATCACTGGATTGTCTGGTCCAGACTAGATTGTTTACAGATCGCCGTCATATAGCTGTGATATTGCTGAGTGTGGCATTAACCAACCAACCAACCAACAAACTTCATTCAGTATGATATAAAAAGCGTCTTTCCTCACACGAAATGTTACGTCGATATTCACATACTTTCATTGGGATGGGACCGCCTCCGTGGTCTAGTGGTAGAGCGTCCGCCCGGAGAGCGGAAGGCCTGGGGTTCGATCCCCGGCCGCGTCATACCAAAAGACGTTAAAAGCTGGTATTTGTTGTTACCCTGTCTGGCGCTCGGCATTAAGGGGCTAAAACAAGGACTGATCGGCTCGGAGTCAGTATACTGTGTCTGAGTGGAGTATTCATGTTAAACTGCGGCATGGTACCTCAGTGAGCTAGCACTATAAATCGGCATCAGTTCGTACTAGTACAAGCAGCCACACAAACACACACACGTACATGTACGTCGCTATATAAGTGCAATAATCTTGGACGCGACGTTAAACCCCATTTCACCTCACCTCATTGGGATGGAAGAAAAATTGTGTACTCTTTACAGCACAAGCCATGTGTGTCATGTACATGTAGTTAGGTGTATAAGACAGACACTCCACAATGCAGTAGTCCCTTTGTATCTATTGCTTGTCGTAAGAGGCGACTGCAATGGGTTTGGTGGTCGAAGCTTTGTGTACTTTCCAATGGAGATTCTTCGTGAAAAAGTGCATAATACTCTAACGAATAATTCAAATGGTAAGAATGTCAGATTGACATCGGGGAGACACAATCTGTATATCATATTCTTTTGTTGCAAAGGATCAGCCCGTACATTGAAACATTGAAGCCATGTGGTAGTGAACAGCTATTTCGAATTGAACAGGAGGCACATGGGCCAGGGTCCGATAAGAAGAATGTGTATGTGAGTGAGTGTGTGTGTGTGTGTGTGTGTGTGTGTGTATGTGTGCGTGCGTGCGTGCGTGTGCGTGCGTGCGTGCGTGCGTGCGCGCATGTATAAGCGTGTCAAAATCAAGTTCATAGTTAAGATGACTTTACTAAAATATATTTGATCAAATGCATGTCGTGGGGACGCTGCTTGAATACTGTGTCTTTCACTCTGGTGAATGTGACCGCCTCCATGGTCTAGTGGTAGAGCGTCCGCCCGGAGAGCGGAAGGTCCGGTGTTAGATCCCCGACCGCGTCATACCAAAAGACGTTAAAAGCTGGTATTTGTTGTTACCCTGTCTGGCGCTCGGCATTAAGGGGCTAAAACAAGGACTGATCGGCTCGGAGTCAGTATACTGTGTCTGAGTGGGGTATTCATGTTAAACTGCGGCATGGTATCTCAGTGAGCTAGCACTATAAATCGGCATCAGTCCGGACTAGAACAAGCAGCCACACAAACACACACACGTACATGTACATGCACGTCGCTATATAAGTGCAATAATCTTGGACGCGACGTTAAACCCCATTTCACCTCACCTCTGGTGAATGTACAGGTGGCTTCACACGACAAAGTGTATTAACTGTGTGTGAACATGGCGTAAACAGCTTGAAAGCTAGTTTGTGAAGTTTGGCCAGAAGAAGAATCGGTCTCTATTCTCACCAATATCTTGGCAAATCCTTCAGTGTTTTGTCACAGTCGATTGTGACATGTGAATGGTTGTCAAACAGAAGAGATTGTCTGATAGATTTTGATGTATAGTGCACCCTTACCATTTTGCATCTATGAAGTACAGGACTTTTCATCCTTACAGGCTGCATTTGAGCGAAATACACAAGACCGCAAATGTCTGCTGGCATCAAAGTGACTGGGTATTCTTTTGACAAAATAGCAAAAAAAATGGCCACCGCCTTGTCATCAAACTCCTAGCAATCCATGCGGATATTGTGTCAACTTTCGGGGATGTGACTCCTCATTGTTAAGGTGAGGTGAGGTGAAATGGGGTTTAACGTTTGACTGCACTTATATAGCGACGTTGGTTGGTTGGTTGGTTGGTTGGTTGGTTTGTTGTTTTACGCCGCACTCAGCAATATTCCAGCTATATGACGGCGGTCTGTAAATAATCGAGTCTGGGCCAGACAATCCAGTGATTAATATCATGAGCATCGATTCATCGATCACATGCATCAACCAAGTCAGCGACCACCATATCCCGTTAGTCGCCTTTTACGACAAGCATAGTCGCCTTTTACGGCCAGCATGGGTTGCTGAAGACCTATTCTACCCCGGATCTTTACGGGTCATATAGCGACGTGCATGCACGTGTGTGTGTGTGTCTGAATCTTGGATGCCGGCCGTTGAGAGCAGATCATGGAATGTCTTATGGACGATAGCACCCGAAGCATATGCAGGCTGGTTATATTTTGAGTCGCCGTGCGTTTGTCACACGTGGCCTAGTCCACACTAGACCCTGACTTGGCACACACACAGAGTGTAATACAATACAATAGGATAAAAAGAGGGGATGATTGTGAAATGGGGGGTTAAGAATAATGCACTTATTACAGCGTGTGTGTGCTAGTGTGTGTGCTAGTGTGTGCGTGTTAGTGTGTGCGTGTGTGTGTGTGTGTGTGTGTGTGTGTGTGTGTGTGTGTGTGTGTGTGTGTGTGTGTGTGATTTTATAGTGCTAGCCCACAGAGATACCATGCCTCAGTTTTACATGAATACCCCACACAGACACAGTAAACTGAAATTAGCCGACCAGTCCTTGTTATATCCCCTTAATGCAGAGCGACAGGCAGGGTGACTACAAGTACCATCTTTTAACGTCTTTTGGTATGACGCGGCCGGGGATCGGACGCACTATGATGACCGAAAATAAATAATCCGATACTTTACGATGCACATATAACCAAGTCGAAGAGCCATTTTAACTTTAACCTCATACTTATAAAGTGAGTGAGTATTCTAATACGCCGCTTTTAGCAATATTCCAGCAATATCACGGCGGGAAATATCAGAAATGGGCTTCACATATAGCACCCATGCAGGGAATCGAACCCGGGTCCTCGGCGTGACGAGCGAACGCTTTAACCACTAGGCTACCCGACGTGATCAGCGCAAGCCAGCTACGAGGCTATCCCACCGCCCTGAGCGTCTGTGGAGTGCTATTCTCTGGCATTGACGGCATTACAATATGCAACTGTCAAAAAGAAGAATTCCTGAAGGCTTAAAGTAGATTTCGAATACGTCAGTTATAAAAAATCTGATTAAAAGCAAGTGTCATCCTTAGTTGGGACATACATGCCAAGTTTTCAGCTTCATCGAGCCAATGGTTTAATAAGAGGAGAGATTCACAATCCAGCCTGCAATTGGACAGAGGAAAGTCGGAATAGGGATAATAACCAACCCCGTTTAAACAACGGTCCCTTAATTCAAAATACCGGTGGTGAAGGCGTTCCCTTGTCACGACGAAGTTCAGGTTAAAGTCCTCACATGGGTACATTTCGGCTTCGATGTTGTTAGAAACTGCGTAAAATGATATTCACACTCATTGATATGACTAACGACATCATGAGCATCGACCCACGCAATTGGGATACGAAGACATGCATCAACCAAGTCAGCGAGTCTGACCACTAGATCCCGGTAGTCGCCTCTTATGACAAGCATTGGTTGCTGAACACCTATTCTACCCCGGATCCTCACGGGTCGGTTTTATTGTAGACATGGAGAGGACATTTCCAGATTTGATGAATCAATGACCAATATGACGTCGGATGCAAGTTTGACTTGTACCAGATGTACCACTGATTCAGGTGAACACTTTATGTGCATGAGTTTGTGACGGGTGCCATCAGTGGGACAGGACATCATCCACTATTACCTGGTATCATCAATATTTGATAGTGATTCATGAACATATCGGGCGGTCGGGTAGCCTAGTGGTTAAAGCGTTCGCTCGTCACGCCGAAGACCCGGGTTCGATTCCCGACATGGGTACAATGTGTGAAGCCCATTTCTGGTGTCCCACCGCCGTGATGTTGCTGGAATATTGCTAAAAGCGGCGTAAAACCATACTCACTCACTCACTCATGAACATATCATAGTCGGCATCTCACAATGAACTCTGCTTTTATCAGATATTTCTTATGATCAAGGATTATATTTCCCCAAAATACTGGAATTTTTTTTTTGGCCTTTACTTAATTAGATTTTACAATGAGAAATGTGACGTAAAAAACTTTAATATTCTTAGGGTCTCCCTTTCAGATAAAACAAGTTTAAGACGTTCGCTTTGAAAAGCATTATTTTGTAATTAACAATTTCTTTGAATGTGTATGTCAAACAATATTTTGATGGAAACCGGCGGTTATGCTCTATGTAGTGTTCTTCATCGGCACCGGAAAAACGGCAACATTTTCTCCAAGCCTGACGATATTCTTCATTATCTGACTCTTGAATGACGCCTCCAGCATCGGCCTTTTTGTCTCATTCTTTGTCATGGGTAATTACACCCAGAAGGAGATAATTCAAGAAGCTGCTGTAGTTATCATTTTCGGTTTCTTCTTGTACCTCATTACAAAAGTCGACAGTCAATAAAACCTATCATCAATCCACTTCATTAAAAGTGGTTTTCTTTGCAGAGTCATCATTGAAAAAGACGGTGCTATGTTTCCCTTCTTGAAGGACGTCTGAAGTGCCAAGGGTTCGACAGGAGTAACACTATGTAATAACTGGGAGGCAACACTTTCGTTTCAAGGCAAAGACTATCGACTTCGTATGGCATCCATCTTCCCGAGGCTGGTATTATAGAGTTACATTTTGGCTGGACTAACGAGTCTATGCATAGTCCAATCAAAATCGCGCACCGAAATCGAAATCCGGTTCGTAAAGTGTCATGCATAGTTCGGTCGACTGCAAGATTTGCAAAGCATGTGCACCGCTAACTCGTTGTCAACAAATATTTTCTATATCTTTTCATGTTTTAGATCAAGGCGCTCACGTGATTTGATGCACTTCGCGATGTAAGACTCGTTTGATCACAATATAGATCTTGATTATCGATCAGATCGTCTTGACTGGGCGCCACCGTTTTGTTTGAAGCAAATGTTAGTGATACGAGAGGTTAAATCTGATTGGTCAATAGGAGTGGCATAGAAAGGACATTACTCGTAATAGCCACTGGTGGCGCTACGATCGAGCCCAGGAATATCAGCCTAGTTCGGCAAGGGTGGAAACTGGACTTTTAAAGTCAGTTAACTCTCTTGCCTGGGGAAGATGTATGGCATCATTCTTCAGGCTTCCGAAACGTGACACTGATTTCAGCGAGTTTTATCAGCATGCATCTTGCAGCGAGTTTTATCAGCATACATCTTGCAACATGTGAGTTTATTACCATAATTTGGCATAACAGAATGGTTCCGACAATACCTTCTCAGAACAGTACATTTCTTATTGTTTCCGTATGGCTGAATGCGATGCGTCGTTAAATCTAAACTTACTTATCTTTTCATTTCCAAATGAAATATTTGCTTTTAGACAAAAAAACAACAACAAAAAGGATTTTGAGGTTTTGAAATTTGAATTCATATTTGATCAGAACTTAATCAGAAAAATATCTGGTCATGGACCGCTGTTGTATACAGAAATAATCATCATTAAACCAAGTAGGTAATGTCTTTGCATGTATTTGTGACCATGACTTGCTATCATCACTATTTGACACATATAGAGATCGAGTCGGATTCGTACAATGTAACCATGATTATGGAAAGGGTTTTGCTAAATTATTCATATCAGTTATAAATACTTTCTAAAGATACATATTTACATGTAGGCTTTTAAATTCTGGTTGGAAAAACACTTGTAAAAAGTGGAACTAAGTAGAGTATCTTAACTGTTTGATGAGGCGATTGAGAGACAGGCAACCAATAAATGAAGCTATCACACAAACGCACGCACGTACGCACACACACACACACATTTATGTTCTTTAGACGTTAGTGTTCCTCCTCGCGTCAGCACAACTCCCGACCTTCCGCACAACATGTTATGCTGCTGCTTGCATAACTGTTCTATTATCTGGCTCGTAATTCAATCGGTAACAGCACACATGGCGTATCTGACACAGATTTCCATATATTTAATTGAAATAACGCGAAATGTCTCGGTTTAACATGGGCCTATGTATTCTCGACAATAGAGCATCCAACGCTACGGTTGGCTGGCCAATTTGTCGTTTCGCATTCAGTGCATGTTTCGTGTCACTGAACTAAAGTTTCCCACAAGCCTGGCAAACTCGTTATAAAGTCTCGTCTGGATGATACCTGACGAAAGCTGAAAATTAATGGTTTCACGCTTTCGAAGATGCTTTTTCCTAATCATTATGAAACAACTCAGTCTGGCAAATGTCTTACACAGGCCTGCTATGTTTTCTATTTTAAACGCCTGGGAAAATCAAATGAAAAGTATGAGAACATAGCAATTTGGAAAAGGAGAACACATATCTTAATTATGGCAGACTCTACACTTCGATTTCCACCATTATGTGTCAAGCCTTTATCTGGTGTCTCCGGTCGTGATATTGTTGGTATGCTGATAAAGCCACATTCACTCGCTCACTGCTATCACAAGCCACGTCACAGTTTCCTGAATAACAACACCCTTGTCTGATCTTACAGGAGAGTATCTTATGGCTGCCCATCCTGACCCATGAGGGTTATCATTGTGACCCATGAGGGTTATTATTGTGACCCATGAGGGTTATCATTGTGACCCATGAGGGTTATCATTGTGACCCATGAGGGTTATCATTGTGACCCATGAGGGTTATCATCCTGACCCATGAGGGTTATCATTGTGACCCATGAGGGTTATCATCCTGACCCATGAGGGTTATCATTGTGACCCATGAGGGTTATCATCGTGACCCATGAGGGTTATCATCGTGACCCATGAGGGTTATCATTGTGACCCATGAGGGTTATCATTGTGACCCATGAGGGTTATCATTGTGACCCATGAGGGTTATCATCCTGACCCATGAGGGTTATCATTGTGACCCATGAGGGTTATCATTGTGACCCATGAGGGTTATCATTGTGACCCATGAGGGTTATCATCCTGACCCATGAGGGTTATCATTGTGACCCATGAGGGTTATCATTGTGACCCATGAGGGTTATCATTGTGACCCATGAGGGTTATCATTGTGTAGAACACCAGTGTACACAGAGATCATCTTCTTAAGAACATGCGCACGCATCAATGGGTAGTCAACCGGATACACAGGGGCGAATTTGTAATTTTGCAGCAAGACCCAGGACCCCTCTGAATATGTAAATTTATACACTGAGCACTCTAATGCTTACTAATATCCCCAGAAAACACACCTGAGCTCTGGATGAGAAGTGCCCGCAGCATATAGTTTATTTCCCAATGTAGAGAAATATGCTAAGTGTGCATCTGTACTATTGAGTCACAAAGATAGAACAGTAAGATTTGGACAACAGCACCTGCATTTGGTCTAAGTGTTTGTGTTAAGACATCACAGCCTGAGAAGCAATAATACAAGGGGAACCATTTGTACATCGAATGCAACGGACACAACCGCGCGTACGGGAACTGCTAAATACGTTCTGTAGTATTTGGATCGACTCGCGGAACACTTAATCAGGATGAAGTTTGACAATATTCTTGAAGATCATCTTGGGGCTTTTGGGAGTTACCAGAAAAGGAAGTATTTCTTGCTCTGCCTCCCGGGTGTCTTCTGTGCGATGCAGATGCTGAGTCCAGTCTTTGTTCTCAACATTCCGAATCACAGGTAAGATTTTGGCCTCAAAATGTCATATCCACGACGTGTTACCGTGAAGAACGAGGAACGCGTTCCCGAACACTGACGTGATTGTGAGAGCATTTGAACGCAACAGATCACACTAGATGTTGATTCTATTTGATTGTGCCACCTGACATAATGTTTCTACATTCTTTGAGACGACCCTTTTTGTTCAAATATTCTTAAGTGTGTGTTCAGATTCAGCATTTGTTTTCATATTGAAATAATGTAGGGCTAGTTTCACTTGTGCGGCGAGGTCTTGACAACATAGAGGACACCTTTCGTGAGAAGTCAAAGGTATAACACATATGGTTTTAGTTGTGATGCAGTGTCTCACGAGGTGTACATACAATGTATTACCGCTATGACATGATACTATATTAAGATCGTGGATACTAGGTGAAATAGGGATTAACGTCATACTAACTTCATCCCTTATTGCACACAAATAACTTGGATCGTCGTGTCAGTTGTGACATTCATCCACGCACCTGTCATTATATAGAATCTTACAAACGATCACTCGTATTGGAGAAACAAAACAACCTAAGCGCTACAATGATCGTAAGTCTATGTTAAAGTATGGGAGTTCCGATCACCTGAGCGCTAAGATCCCTTTGTACAACAGCACCAAGATGTTGATATTCGGCCCAAGAACAAGCAGAACTAATCATATTTAAAGGATCTAAATGAAGTAATTAATGACCTTTGCTTGTCTCCATTCCTTTTCCTTGTTCAGGATGAAATGGAATCGAGTACACAATTTCTTTATGGTGCTGAATGTATGCAATTTTTGTGATGGCACCGACGTCATGACTTTATCGAGAAAGCTTTTTGTTCATCGATGCTTTCTCAGCTCGATACCCGTGTTTTTGTTTTCCAAAGTTGCAAACGTGGACCACCTGCATCATTTCGGGCTTTCCTCCATGTTATTTTAAGCTGCCACGTGGTGCTGTAACTGAAATACTGTAACGGCGATTCATCCCTTTTGTTATGCTGTTAAGATAATACGCATCTAGGTTCCACACAATAGTGGTGAGTTTATATGTCGATGTATTGCGATGGTGACAGTATCATAAATAGTATATAAGTAGAAGTAAATAAGCAATGTCTATATCGCAATGTTCTTTTATCGAAAGGAGGATGTTTCGCTGTAGACATACGTACCTATCGTTGAGGCGGTTCCCTGAAAACTATGTCATCGTTCTTGGACGAGCTGGCTCTTGTAATCTACCACTGTCTAGACCCTATTAAGTACAGACTTCTATTATCAAGCTACATCTCGATCACAAGCGTCTTTTTGATCTTGATTTTTTTCAATCAGAAAGCATTATTCAGTTCTCTTTCGATGAAGAAAAGTATAAGTATAATTTAAAACGTGGTTTACGAAATCCACCGACTGAAAAAAATAAAAGCAGTTTTGTTTTCATTCCACCAACCAGAAATAAGTAACATGTCATAAAGAAAACACAACTCATTTCCTTTCCTATCAACATAAATAGATTGAAAGGCACCCACTTGCTGTCAACTGCAAGCTTCCAGTTGGGAAGACGCAGACATATTAGATTTTGGAAAGTAGTCCTGTAACTTCCAGAGTCTATTGTTGCATTACACAGCCAATCGAGCCTTAACACTTTATGTCGTTTCTTTCGCTATTGCTCCTGTTCCCACTGTCTCTCCTACCCACTTATCATTTGGAAGAAATGAAAACATTTGGTTAGAAATTTGATTTTTATTTGTTTCGACCTAGCTACGTGAAAATTTGGCCCTTAATACGGGTCAAAATCCGTAAACCAAAATAGAAATATGGCTAAAGGTTATACCAGGAAAAATAATGCCATGAGGTTTAAAATACCGTACGGTGGACCCAAATCTATGCAACCAGAAACCAGAGCATGTGCTATTTCCTGAAAGGGATTTCTCCATTGGCAAATTATGACAACAATAATGACATTTTACAGGGTTGTATTTATAATATTGTTGGATATTTCATTGTGCATAGTATTTAAAATGTTGGTACGTGAGCCGCGGGGTTCCCTAGACAGTTGTGGCCGGTAGGTATCACTGAACTTGACTGTTGTGTTGATTTCCGGTGACGAGACTGTCACAAGCGTGTATGACCGCCTGGACCCTCCGCCTCCTGCCTCCGATGAGACGTCTCATGCCGACGTCATATACCGTCTAACACAACACCGATCTGAAGCCGCGGGCTTGTCGTATGCTCTGACCAATTTTGGTTCCACTTTTCTGTGACGCAAGCCGCCTGTATTGGTTTCAGAAACATTTTCCTTATACAGAAGATGAGAGCGACCGGGTCGACAAATGTGCCGGTGATTTGTGGATTGTTCAAGAAACGTAGGTCCCTGTGTTCCTGACCTCCTCGTAGTAAATACGAAGCAGAAATACTTAGATATTCTAATTGGTTATTAAAGACACAACGGGCATGAACAGAAAGGAAGAGTAAACAAACAAAGGGTGAGATACAATATCTTATCAGTAACTTCTTGATGGCGTCGTCTCCAGGGCAACCTTTCTGCCAGAGGATATTCTCTTCTTATTATGGTTTTTGTCTATTTTCTGCTGCCTTGTTCTTGTCCTGCTGCTCTGTCTGTTGATAGATCCAGAGCAGCATTAAGTTCATAAAGAGTTGATGTGGATCATCATAGTTGATGAGAGATTAACCAAACCTGCAGATCTGATCGGAGTGTTCTGTAATCTCTACGCCATATATTGAAACACTGTTCTGTAATCTCTACGCCATATATTGAAACATTCTTCTGTAATCTCTACGCCATATATTGAAACACTGTTCTGTAATCTCTACGCCATATATTGAAACACTGTTCTGTAATCTCTACGCCATATATTGAAACACTGTTCTGTAATCTCTACGCCATATATTGAAACACTGTTCTGTAATCTCTACGCCATATATTGAAACACTGTTCTGTAATCTCTACGCCATATATTGAAACATTCTTCTGTAATCTCTACGCCATATATTGAAACACTGTTCTGTAATCTCTACGCCATATATTGAAACACTGTTCTGTAATCTCTACGCCATATATTGAAACACTGTTCTGTAATCTCTACGCCATATATTGAAACACTGTTCTGTAATCCCTACGCCATATATTGAAACACTGTTCTGTAATCCCTACGCCATATATTGAAACACTGTTCTGTAATCTCTACGCCATATATTGAAACACTGTTCTGTAATCTCTACGCCATATATTGAAACACTGTTCTGTAATCTCTACGCCATATATTGAAACACTGTTCTGTAATCTCTACGCCATATATTGAAACACTGTTCTGTAATCCCTACGCCATATATTGAAACACTGTTCTGTAATCTCTACGCCATATATTGAAACACTGTTCTGTAATCTCTACGCCATATATTGAAACACTGTTCTGTAATCTCTACGCCATATATTGAAACACTGTTCTGTAATCTCTACGCCATATATTGAAACACTGTTCTGTAATCTCTACGCCATATATTGAAACACTGTTCTGTAATCTCTACGCCATATATTGAAACACTGTTCTGTAATCTCTACGCCATACATTGAAACACTGTTCTGTAATCTCTACGCCATATATTGAAACACTGTTCTGTAATCTCTACGCCATATATTGAAACACTGTTCTGTAATCTCTACGCCATATATTGAAACACCGTTCTGTAATCTCTACGCCATATATTGAAACACTGTTCTGTAATCTCTACGCCATACATTGAAACACTGTTCTGTAATCTCTATGCCATATATTGAAACACTGTTCTGTAATCTCTACGCCATATATTGAAACACTGTTCTGTAATCTCTACGCCATATATTGAAACACTGTTCTGTAATCTCTACGCCATATATTGAAACACTGTTCTGTAATCTCTACGCCATATATTGAAACACTGTTCTGTAATCTATATGCCATATATTGAAACACTGCTGAATGTCACTTCAGTTTCCAATTCCAAAGCCCACACTGGCGGTTTTTCTAACGGGACGATCCGTAGTCCAAAGTAGTGACATACAGAATATTATTGTCTCAGGACTACAAATAATTTAACGTAGAGACTATTCATTTTATGACAACAAATCTATTATCAGCCAAGATCAATGTAACTGGAAGGCTGGGCGCTATACAAGTGCAATATTAAAATGATGTAATTTCCCAACTGTTGAATGCCTCTAATGTTGTGATCGGCGTTTATCAACAAACAGATGCCAGAAGTTTTTCCCCATTGCATTTTTGCTCCAATGGGAATTCCAAGAATGGATCGCCAACGTATACTGCTTGTAACAGCCCCTGAAGATCAGATGGTCAGACTCCAAAAACTTCCAATCCCATCGTGCCTCGCCGGCGTGGGATCGCTTCCGTTGTAGGGTTGTAGAGCATCCGCACGGAGAGCGAAAGGTCCGAGGTTAAGACGTTAAAAGATGCTTAAAAGATGGTACTTGTTGTTACCCTGTCTGGCGCTCGGCATTAAGGGGGCATTAAGGAGCTAAAACAGGGACTGGTCGGCTCGGAGTCAGCATACTGTTCTGAGTGAGGTATTCATGTTAAACTGAAGCATGGTGTCTCAGTGGACTAGCACTATAAATCGGCATCAGTCCGGACTAGTACGAGCAGCCACAGACACACGCGTTCATGCACGTCGTTATATCAGTGCAATAATCTTGACCGCGACGTTAAACCCCATTTACCGCACGTCACCTGCCGGTGTGGATGGTTGCCCCATTGTCTAGACATCACTGTTTTGCCAGGTCCAGCCCGACGCGACACGCGGTGTTACATTCATTCACATTACCCCATTGCAACCTTGAATTTGTAATCGCTTGCATGGCCACAATATATTCAACACATTTATTTATCTGGAGTGCAGAATATTTCGAAGAAAATAACACAGTTTCAAGCGCAGCAGTATTGTCACAGTGTTGTTTTCCTCTCGTTGTGCGTCAGACTTTCGA